TTAAATGCCCTCTCGAACAGCCACGTCTTGAGGCTTTTTCGGAAGGACAAAAGAGAGGGCGCCTGCCTGATGTCTGTAGGGAGAGTGTTCCACAACCGGGGGGCCACCACTGAGAAGGCCCTCTCTCTCGTCCCCGCCAGGCGTGCCTGTGAGGCAGGCGGGATCGAGAGAAGGGCCTCCCCAGACGATCTCAAGGTCCTCGTGGGCTCATAGGCCAAGATGCGGTCTGAAAGGTATTTTGGGCCGGAGCCGTTCAGGGCTTTGTAGGCCAACACCAGCACCTTAAATTGGGCCCGGTAGCAAATCGGCAGCCAGTGGAGCTGGGACAACAAGGGTGTTGTGTGCTCCCTGTATCCCGCTCCAGTTAGTAACATGGCTGCCGCACGCTGAACCAGCTGAAGCTTCCGGGCCGTCTTCAAGGGCAGCCCCACGTAGAGAGCGTTGCAGTAATCCAGTCGGGATGTGACAAGAGCGTGTACCACCGTGGCCAAGTCAGACTTCCCGAGATACGGGCGCAGCTGGCGCACGAGCCTGAGCTGTGCAAATGCTCCCCTGGTCACCGCTGAAACCTGGGGATCCAGGCTCAACGATGAATCCAGGGTCACACCCAAGCTGCGAACCTGCGCCTTCAAGGGGAGTGTGACCCCATCCAGCACAGGCTGTAACCCTATATCCCGTTCGGCCTTGCGACTGACCAGGAGTACTTCTGTCTTGTCTGGATTTAGTTTCAGTTTGTTCGCCCTCATCCAGACCGTTACAGCGGCCAGGCACCGGTTCAGGACCTCGACAGCCTCCTTAGTAGCAGGTGGGAAGGAGTGACAGAGTTGGACATCATCCGCGTACAGATGACACCGCACCCCGAAACTCCGGATGATCTCTAGAATGGAAATTATTCTTGACATCCCACAGCTAAATCTGAACTGGAATTAGGAATTCCTGCCTGATGTGGACCAGCAAATGAAGCCTTCTCTTTGCAAGGCTTATACTTCCTATGTTATTTTTAGAAGCAAGTAACCATTTCCTTCCCTTCTAAGAAACCACATATCAGTTTCCTGAAGGGTCTCTTCCTGATGGTAAAATGTACATGCATTTATTTGGTAAGTGAAAAGGAGAGAACCAAGCCATTGCTGGTTTGCTATACTGTACTGAATACAAACCCTTGTTTCTACCAGCAATTTGTATAGCAGCTGGAAATGTACATATACAGAAGCCACTTCCAATTTAAGACCCTAAATATGGGAATGGAGAAGAGAAGAGTCACAAGGGAAGGAACATGTTATTGGTTCTATTCAGATATGATCGAAACTATTTTGCCTTGACTCTGTGGAGCTAAACAAGATTAGGGACTTTATCACACAAAGATGGCAATCCAGACTAGAAGCACACTTATAACTTTTAGTGATGGTTCCTATTGCACAATGGATAATCCATTAGAATCATAGAATCAAAGAGTTGGAAGAGACCTCATGGGCCATCCAGTCCAACCCCATTCTGCCAAGAAGCAGGAATATTGCATTCAAAGCACCCTGACAGATGGCCATCCAGCCTCTGTTTAAAAGCTTCCAAAGAAGGAGCCTCCACCACACTCGGGGGCAGAGAGTTCCACTGCTGAACAGCTCTCACAGTCAGGAAGTTCTTCCTCATGTTCAGATGGAATCTCCTTTCTTGTAGTTTGAAGCCATTGTCCTAATTTCCATGGAGGTAGTAAACAAGCTTGCTCCCTCCTCCATGTGGCTTCCTCTCACATACTTATACATGGCTATCATATCTCCTCTCAGCCTTCTCTTCTTCAGGCTAAACATGCCCAGCTCCTTAAGCCGCTCCTCATAGGGCTTGTTCTCCAGACCCTTGATCATTTTAGTCGCCCTCCTCTGGACACATTCCAGCTTGTCAATATCTTTCTTGAATTGTGGTGCCCAGAATTGGACACAATATTCCAGATGTGGTCTAATCGAAGTGGAATAGAGTGGTAGCATTACTTCCCTAGATCTAGACACTATGCTCCTACTGATGCAGGCCATTATTGGTCTGGTATCTTCCCATGGCAAACCTGTTCCCTGCTGAAAATTCGTCAGTAGTCCCTTGGTTGTGTCACAATTTACCTGGTGCAATAACACTATGTGATGCAATTTTTGTTCCTGGGTTATAAATGTCATTTCCTAATTGGTTCTATCATAAAAACATGGACAAATTTTTATTAAACTGCAAAATTTGCTTTTTCAGGAGGTACATCCTGCAGCACATTTTGCTCTAGTTTTTCAGTGACTATCTCATCCAGTCTCAACCAATTCAACATAGTTTGTGACAGCCACAAAAATGAAGTTTTTGAACTAGAACAACTGCTTTCAAAGTAAGGACCACATAATAAAACAGGAAACAACACTTTTGAACCAGGAACAGATTTTTTTCCCAAAATTTGTTACATAGTATAATCCTTAGGTAGGTAGGTAGGTAGGTAGGTAGGTAAAGATTTCCCTTTGACATTAAGTCCAGTTGTGTCCGACTCTGGGGGTGGTGCTCAACTCAATTTCTAAGCTGAAGAACCGGCACTATCTGTAGACACCTCCAAGTTTATGTGGCCGGCATGATTGCATGGAGCTTCGTTACCTTCCATGTTATTGCATGGCAGGAGTTGTGGTTCTACAAGGTCTTGAGCCTTCTCTGGCAAGGAGCCTCTCTCTGTCCAGGATTCCATAGCACTGAGCCATGGCCGTTAAACTGGTGTCAGACTGCAGTGTAGACAGAAGCTCAGTACAGAGCAAATTTCCTTATTTGAGAATAAGGCTGTGATCCTTAGCAAGGAAGCGATCAGTGAGGCTCTAAAAGAAGCAAATATAGAACTAGAAGAAAAGAGAAGCGCTTTGCTGTCGATGTCACAGCTTGCTTCACTTTTCCTTCCAACATTTGATCGCATGCAGCAGTCGAGATTACACAACCGGAAATGAGCAGACATGTTTTGTTAATTATGTTGGCTCCCTGCCTATTATGTCTACAGTAGGCCTGGACAAACTTGAGCCCTCCAGATGTTTTAGACTTCAACTCCCACAATTCCTAACAGCCTACCAGCTGTTAGGAATTACGGGAATTGAAGTCCAAAACACCTGGAGGGTCCAAATTGTCTCCCTGTCTGATCTAAAGTCATGTTGGAATGTTATCTCATATGAATAATATGATGAAATATGAATAATATTATAATAATAATACAATAATAATATAATAATTAACCATAATGTAAGAATAGTAATATGATAGCATAATATAAAATAATGCAATAATGAAGAATAAAATAACATATAATAACACAATAATAAATAATATATAATATAATAATATGATAAACCATAATATAATAGTAATATAATAACATGATAAAATAACAATATATAGTAATACAATAAAATAAATATAATAATATATAAAATCATATATAATACAATAAGTAATAATAATATATAATATATAATATAATAAACCATAATGTAATAATAATATAATAACATGATAAAATATCAATGTATAATAAATAGTAATAAAATTATATATATATATATATATATATATATATATATACACACACACACACACAATCATACAGAATAGTAACATATAATAATAATAAATATAATAATATAATAGAATAATAAGGAATAATAATTATATAATAATACAATAATAAATTAATAATAATGCATAATATAATATGATAAGCCATAATGTAATAGTAATATAATAACATGATAAAACATCAATGTATAAATAATAATAATAATGATAATAATAATAAATATTCTATTATATATAATAGAATAATAAGGAATAATAATGATATAATAATACAACAATAAATTAATAATATATAATATAATATCATAAACCATAATGTAATAATAGTAATAACACGATAAAATTACAATAATTGATCATACAATAAATAATAATAAATATAATATTCTCTCTTCTTATCTTCTTCTTACATATATTACTTACTTACATATATTACTTCTTACATTACTTATCTTCTTCTTCTTAAATATAATATACAATAATATATATATATATAAACAATAAATAATAAAATAATGCAAAACCATAATGTAATAATAGTAATAACATGATAAAATAACAATAAATAATAATACAATAAATAATAACAAATATAATATACAATAAGGAATATATATATAAATAAACAATAAATAATAAAATAATGCAAAACCATAATGTAATAATAGTAATAACATGATAAAATAACAATAAATAATAATACAATAAATAATAATAAATATAATATACAATAATAAGGAATATATATATATATATATATATATATATATATATATATATATATAAAAACAATAAATAATAAAATAATGCAAAACCATAATGCAATAATAGTAATAACATGATAAAATAGCAATAAATAATACAATAAATAATAATAAATATAATATGCAATAATAAGGAATAGCAATATATATATATATTACCATAAATAATAAAATAATGCAAAACCATAATGCAATAATAGTAATACCATGATAAAATAACAATAAATAATAATATAATAAATAATAATAAATATAATATATAATAAGGAATATATATATATATATATATATATATATATAATGCAACAATAAAATAGTAATATGCAATATAATAAATATATAATATAATATTAATAAATAATATTTCATATAATATAATCTAAGAAGTATAATATAACTGCTACCTGCTTCAACCTAAGTATTTCAGCCTATTTTAGGAGAGGCAGATAGGATCTCAAATGAGTTTCCTTCTGTATTGGCTCAAGGTTTTCACTAATAAGAGTGCGAGTCCCCTTTAAATGTGATGGCAACACCGCAAGGCATGCTGGGATTCGCAGTTCAGGGAGGAGCCTCTCCAACTCTCGGGCAAGGCGCGCTGAGGGCTGATTAAACTACAAGGCCCAGAATCCCACAAGGAGGCGGCAGCGGCGGTTGAAAAAGAAACCCCGCGCGACCACAGGACATCTCGCGTGTCTTCCTGTGCTGTGTTTCCAAAAGGACGGAAGGTGGCAATGGCAAGCCTTTCCGACTGAGGCAACGGCTGAGGCGGGCCTTGCCACTGAGGGAGGGAGGCGCAGGAGCGGAAGTAGGCCTCCTCCGGGGCCGCCTGCCATTGCCAGCCCAGACGAGGCAGTCGGTCGTCCTCAGCCGCCGCCATGAGCTTCTTGTTGTAAGTCTGGGAAGGAGGAAGGAAGGGGGAAATAGGCCCGCCTGGCAACAACAGGAAGCCCCTCGCAGCCTTTGTGCGCCACCCCCCCCTCATTGCCTCGCTTCTTCCTCCTTCTTTCCTTCCTTCCCTTCTTACCCTTGACCTTCCCCCTCCCTTCCTTCTCCCCCTCCCCCTCCCCCTAACCCCTTCCTACGCCTTTTCCCACCTTCACCTTCCTCATTTCCTCCCTCTCATGGACTTCCTTTCTTCCTCTCACCTCATCTTTCATTCCTCCCTTTCCTTCTCCTCTCTTTCATTCTCTCCTTCCTCTCTTTTATTTCCTTCCTTCCCTTCTCTCACCCCTTCCTTCCCCTCTCTTATCCCTTCTTTCCTCCAATCACCCTCCTTCTTTTCCCCTCCTCCTTTTCCTTCCCTTTTCTCACTCCTTTCTTCCCCTCTCTTATCCCTTCTTTCCTTCCTCCCCTCCTCCTTATCCTTCCTTCTCTTCTTAGCCCTTCTTTCCTTCCCCCTCTTTCTATTCCTTCCTTCCCTTCTCTCACCCCTTCCTTCCTCCCTCTTATCCCTTCTTTTCCTTTCTTCCCTTTTCTCACTCCTTCCTTCCCCTCTTATCCCTTCTTTCCTTCCCGTCTCTTATCCCTTCTTTCCTTTCTCCCCTCCTCCTTATCCTTCCTTCCCTTCTTAGCCCTTGTTTCCTTCCCCCTCTTTCAATTCCTTCCTTCCCTTCTCTCACCCCTTCCTTCCTCCCTCTTATCCCTTCTTTCCTTCCTTCCTTCCTTCCTTCCTTCCTTCCTTCACCCTCCTTTTCCTTTCTTCCCTTCTTTCACCCCTTCCTTCCTTCCCCCCTTATTCCTTCTTTCCTTCCTCCCCTCCTTCTTATCCTTCCTTCCCTTCTTAGCCCTTCTTTCCTTCCCCCTCTTTCTTTTTCCTTCCTTCCCTTCTCTCACCCCTTCCTTCCTCCCTCTTATCCCTTCTTTCCTCCCATCACCCTCCTTCTTTTCCTTTCTTCCCTTTTCTCACTCCTTCCTTCCCCTCTTATCCCTTCTTTCCTTCCTCCCCTCCTTCTTTTCCTTCCTTCCCTTCTCTCACTCCTTCCTTCCCCTCTCCTATCCCTTCTTTCCTCCCATCACCCCCCTTCTTTTCCTTTCTTCCTTTTCTCACTCCTTCCCTTCTTATCCCTTCTTTCCTTCCTCCCCTCTTTCTTTTCCTTCCTTCCTTCCTTTCTCTCACCCCTTCCTTCCTCCCTCTTATCCCTTCTTTACTTCCTTCCCCCTCCTTCTTTTCCTTCTCTCCCATCCCTCCCCTTAGCCCTTCTTTCCTACTCCCCTCTTTCTTTCCCTTCTCTCACTCCTTTCCCCCCTCTCTTATTCCTCCCTTCTCCCTTTCTTTTCATTCCTTCCCTTCTCTCACCCCTTCCTTCCCCTTTGTTATCTCTTCCTTCCACCTTTCTTTCCTTCCCTTCTCTCACTCCTTCCTTCCCCTTTCATATCTCTTTCTTTCTTTCTTCCTTCCTTCCTTCCTCCCTTTTCCTTCTTCCCTTCCTTCCTTCTCCCCCCTAACGCCTTCCTACGCCTTTTCCCCCTTCACCTTCCTCATTTCCTCCCTCTCCTGTTCTTCCTTCCTTCCTCTCATCCCATCTTTCATTCCTCCCTTTCCTTCTCCTCTCTTTCATTCTCTCCTTCCTCCCTTTCCCCTCTTTTATTTCCTTCCTTCCCTTCTCTCACTCCTTCCTTCCCCTCTCTCCCATCACCCTCCTTCTTTTCCTTTCTTCCCTTTTCTCACTCCTTCCTTCCCCTCTTATCCCTTCTTTCCTTCCTCCCCTCCTTCCTATCCTTTCTTTCCTTCCCCCTCTTTTATTTCCTTCCTTCCCTTCTCTCACCCCTTTCTTCCCGTCTCTTATCCCTTCTTTTCCCCTCCTCCTTTTCCTTCCCTTCTCTCACTCTTTCCTCCCTCCCTCTTATCCCTTCTTTCCTTCCTTCCTTCCTTCACCCTACTTTTCCTTTCTTCCCTTCTTTCACCCCTTCCTTCCTTCCCCTCCCTTATTCCTTCTTTCCTTCCTCCCCTCCTTCTTATCCTTCCTTCCCTTCTTAGCCCTTCTTTCCTTCCCCCTCTTTCTTTTTCCTTCCTTCCCTTCTCTCACCCCTTCCTTCCTCCCTCTTATCCCTTCTTTCCTCCCATCACCCTCCTTCTTTTCCTTTCTTCCCTTTTCTCACTCCTTCCTTCCCCTCTTATCCCTTCTTTCCTTCCTCCCCTCCTTCCTATCCTTTCTTTCCTTCCCCCTCTTTTATTTCCTTCCTTCCCTTCTCTCACCCCTTTCTTCCCGTCTCTTACTTCGCCCCTTCTTTTCCTTCCTTCCCTTCTCTCATCCTTTCCTTCCCCTTTTAGCCCTTCTTTCCTTCTCCCCTCTTTCTTTCCCTTCTTTTCCTTCTCTCACTCCTTCTTCCCCTCTTATTCCTTCCTCCTTTCTTTTCCTTCCTTTCCTTCTCTCACCCCTTCCTTCCTTCCATCCATCCATCCATCCATCCATCCATCCATCCATCCATCTTATTCCTTCCTTCCCCCTTTCTTTTTTTCCCTTCTCTCATCCCTCCCTGCCTGCTATCCCTTCTTTCCTTCCTTCCCCCTCCTCCTTATCCTTCCTTCCCTTCTTAGCCCTTGTTTCCTTCCCCCTCTTTCTATTCCTTCCTTCTCTTCTTTCACCCCTTCCTTTCTTCCTCTTATCCCTTCTTTCATTCCTTCTTCCTCCTTCTTCTCCTTCCCTCTCTCACCCCTTCCTTCCTCTTATCCCTTCTTTCCTTCCTTCCCCCTCCTCCTTTTCCTTCCTTCCCTTCTCTCACTCCTTCCTTCCCCTTTCTTATCTCTTCCTTCCCCCTTTCTTTCCTTCCCTCACCCCTTCCTTCCTTCCCTCTCCCTCTTTCTTTTCTTTCCTTCCCTTCTCTCAGTCCTTCCCTTCCCGTCTCTTATCCCTTCTTTCCTTCCTCCCCTCCTTCTTATCCTTCCTTCCCTTCTTAGCCCTTCTTTCCTTCCCCCTCTTTCTTTTCCTTCTTTCCCTTCTCTCACTCCTTCCTTCCCCTCTCTTATCCTTCTTTCCTTCCTTCCCTCTCTTTTCCTTCCTTCCCTTCTTTCTTCCTTCCTTCCTTCCCCTCTTCCCTTCTTTCTTTCCTCCTCTTTTTCCTTCCCTTCTTCCTTCTTTCCTTCCTTCCTTCCTTTCCTCTTTCCCTTCTTCCTTCCTTCCCCTCCTTCTTTCCTTCCTTCCCTTCTCTCTCCTTTCCCTTCTTTCCTTTCTCCCTTTCCTTTCCTTCCCCCTCTTTCTTTCCTTCTTCCTTTCTTCCTCCTTCCCTTCCTTTCTTTTTCCTTCCTTCCCCTTTCTTTTCCTTCTTTCCTCTCCCCTTCCTCCTTCTCTTTTATCTTCTTTCTTTCCTCCTTCCTCTCTTTCCTTCCTTCCTCCTCTCCTTCTTTTCCTCTTTCCTTCTTTCTCCCTTCCTCTCCCCTTCCTCCTTCCTATCTCTTATCCCTTCCTTCCCCTTTCTTTTCCTTCCTTCCTTCTCTCCTTTCCTTCTTTCCTTCCCCCCTCTTTCTTTCCCTTCCATCCCTTATCTCCTTCCTGCCTTCTTTCCTCTCTTTCATACCTTTGACTTTTCTTCTTCCCTCCCTTTTCCTCGGTTCCTTTTTCTTTTCTCCTTCTTTCCCCCTCCCTCCCCTTTCTTTCTGACCTTTCTCTTAATTACCTCACTCTCTCTCATCTCTTCTTTTTCCCACTATCCCTTCCCTCCTTCCCCTTTTCTCCCTCATCCCATCTTTCATGCCTCTTTCTCCCCTTCCTTCCTTCCTTCTTTCCTATCTCTTATCCCTTCCTTCCCCTTTCTTTTCCTTCCTTCCCTTCTCTCACCCCTTCCTTCCTTCCTTCCTTCCTTCCTTCCTTCCTTCCTATCTCTTATCCCTTTTTTCTTCCCTTCCCTCTTTCCTCCCTTCCTCCTCTCCTTCCCCTCTCCCACTCCTTCCTTCTTTCCTCTCTTTCTTCCTTGGCTTTTCTCCTTCCTTTTTTTTCCCCTTAGTTCCTTTTTCCTTTCTCCTTTTTCCCTCCTCCCTCTCACTTCTCTATTTCCAACATCTCTCTCTCCTATCCTTCTTCTCTCTCCCATCTTTCATTCCTCCCTCTTGTCCCTTAATTAATTATTTCTTTCCTACCCTTCCCCTCTTTCTTTTACTTCTTCCCACTCTTCCTTGCCCATGACCTTTCCCCTCTCTCCCCTCCCCCTTTTCCTTTCCTGCACAAACTTTGCCTTCCCTCTCCACTTCCTTTTGGGTCTCTTCTTCCTTTTCTTCCTCTTTGCAAGAATAAAATAAGGGAAGTTTTTCTATGTTTGTTGTGCATTGGCGCGTCTTCTCTTAAGTGTCCTCTCAATTTGAAGCATTCGAAAGCAGGCTCTTGCGTTGTGGGTTCTTCTTCTTAATAAAATGGAAGTGAGAGGATGGTGGTGGTATCACCCAGTGGGGTAACTCATTGTGAATCACCCATTTCCTTCCAACTTTGAAGATGGTGCAGGGCAAAGGAAAGAAGGAAGAAGTGTGTTAAGCTGAAAAGGAATGAGACAGTTAATAATGTATATCTGCTGCAATCCTGCACAACAATTTTATAGACAGTCATTTTGAGGTCACCCTGTCTGGATGGTGTCACTCTGGTGTGATCTGCACCCCCGTTGTGATGCCACTGGTAGCTGGTAGGATGTGGGTTTGGGGTGTCTTTGGCCACCTCAACACACAGCTGTATAATATCACACAGTATCAGCTTTGAACTGGATTCTGTGGCAGTGTGGACTCAGATAACCCAGTTCAAAGCAGATATTTTGGATATTTATTTATCGTGTCAGGAGCAGACCAAACAATTGTATTGCATTTTTAACAAACAAACAAAACACAAAGTTTGCAAGCTTGGTAGCTGATTAAATGTCCTTTGACCAGTAGCTGGCCACTTGGAATGCCTCTGGTGTTGCCGCAAGAAG